GGTTGGGGGGGGTCAAAGGGGGGGTCCAGGGTGGTCGTCGCATTGGGGGACCGAACGCATGCCCCCCTAGACTAGCAAAGGGTATCATAGGGATGTGGAGGCGCTGAGCGGCAAGCGTCAGGCGCAGCGGCGGGGACGAGCCGAGGGCGAGGCTGTGGTCGGGGGTCGCCGCTGTGAACGGGTGATCCGGGCCGGCATGGGGCGGCTCGCCACAGGAATGCAGGGCTACGGCGTGGGCGCGTGGCGGGTGCGTGCCTGCGGCTCGCGCCACCTGCCGCCTCTGGCGGTTTCGGCGCAACAAGCAGCGACCCTGATACCTGAAATCTCAATACGTCTCATGCCAAAAACCCAGGCCGTCCTGTGGATCTACATGAGCTGGCGGGACCCCAAGGCCAAGGCTCAGATCGACGCCGCCCAGGAGAAGATGACGGCGCCCAACTCCACCTTCGAATGCGAGCTACGCTGGTCCCGGCGCGCGCCCCGCGGCGGCGGGCGCCTGCCTGCTTCCCGGGACGCATCTTGCATATGATCAGCATGTCTTCGTTGTTTTAATCATCCTTGCAAACAGCGGGGTCCCCCAGTGCCATAAGCGTGCGTACATGCACACTCAAATGCACACACCAATGCATGCACGTGCAGACACGCACCAACACGCGTACCCACCCCACCCTTTCCCAAACATACTCTCTCTTTCTGACGTCCAGGCAAGTACCCCTGCCAATCAACCGGCAAGGCGATCGCAGGCGGCTGCTGCGACGACGTTTGGCAGCCCTATGTAGCTATGACCAACATCAGATGGCTGCCGCAGGTGATGACAGGATGAGATGAGATCCGGAGTAGTAGTAATTGGCTCGAGCAAATCTGTCACATGTGGCGTTGTCAGCCGAGCACGCTCTGAAGATGCGGGTGTGAGCCGTCGGACCCTGAACTCTGGGTGTCACCCGCCCCACACCCCTCCCCGCAGGACCGCATCGTCCGCTACGCCTTCGGCTGGAACCCTGACGGCGACAACGTTTGGTACTGGCGCAATGTCCACGCGGTCTACTACACCTCAATGGACCTGCGGGTGAGCGCGGGGCTGCCTGGGATGGACCCCCCCCCCAGGCCGCCTGCACTACAAGCTCCACGTGCGTGTTGCAGACAAGCAACTCAGCCTGGACGCCTCCCGGGGCGTGTCTGCGCCAGGGATGGTTCCTGTGTGCCTGCCCCGGGGCCTGCGGGGTCCCAGGGTCCCGAGTCAACCGTCGATTGTTTCGTGGCCCGTGATATTTGCGAAATCCTGGCATCAAGCGTTGAATGAGGAGAAACAGATCAAAGCAGCAGCATGGCACCTTGCTATTGACCGACCTGCTTCCCTTCTCCCCGTTGAAACAAATGCACACGCACGTACACACGCATTCACGCTCATATACATGCATGCACACCTGCATGCACGCATACACGCACGAACCCGCACCCGCGCACGCGCACACGCGCGTGCGCACACGTATCCCCCCTCAGGCATACCCGTTTGACAGGCAGTCGCTGCTGGTGCAGATGGAAGTGCCAGAGGTGGGCACGCGCGTGCGCCCTTGGGCTGCCGTCATGCCGCAGCGGCTGTGCGCGACAGGCGCCTGCGGCCCCGCCCGCGGTCGCCGGGCTTTGCAGGCCACTGCTCCCTTCCCTATTTTGCCTGACCAGGGGGCCGTGCGCCTGTTGTGGCGCCCGCTTGCCGTGCCTTGCACGCCTTTCTCCCTTGGCTTGACAGGGCTCCGCCTCCAGCCAAAAGATCTCGTGCCTGCCCGACTCCTCCCGGCCCTCCTGCATGCGGCCGCCCCACTCCAACCGCCGCCAACCACCCCAAATCGCTGCAGGCGCGCATGGGCTGGAGCGGCGCCCTGGTCAACCTGATCCCCTCTGTCACAGGCAACGCCATGTTCACGGCACGCACGGGTGCGCCGGTTGGCCCGGGAGCTCGGGCTTACTCACGGGCCCAGCTGCCAATGGCGCTTCTGGCGTTTGTCCGCGTCTCCTCACTCCGCCTGGTGTCTCAAGTGTATTTTTGCTTGTCTGAGCTGCGTGCGCTTGCGCCGACCGCCGCGTCGCATCAGCCGAGTCAAAGCCAACCTGCCAGCTCGGTACACAGCAAACATGGCACCTCTCAAAGGATGTGCACACACGCACGCGAGCGCGCGCACACGCGCGCGTGCGCGCGCACACACACACACACACACACACACACACACACACACATGCACATACACACACACACACACGCTTTCCCCCATCGCCCCACCCCGCAGGCTCCGACCAGCTCAGCGGCTGGGGCGTCGACGGCGTGACACTCACAAAGTACTCCTACCCCCTCTGCTCCCAGCCCCTCGCGCACGCCAATGGGCCCTCCGCCCCGACCGACCCCTCCCCCCTCGTCCCGGACTACATGGCGCCGCTGATGGGCGAAGGCCGCGCCCAGGAGTGCGCCGCGACAATTGGCGCGCTGCCGGACCCCCGGGCCTCTGTTTTCTACCGCACCTCGCTCGTGGCGGGGGTGGTTGGGGAGCCGATCTCGGTGTCGGGGCTGAACATCCACATCCACGTGCGGCGGTTCTGGGTGCCGTTTTTCCTCATGGGTGAGCGGCGTCCGGGGTGGAGGGGGCATCACGTGCGAACCGTGATTATGACTGGATTTGGTGGTGTGGGGTTGCTGCATCGCAGGTCCATAGAGCTGAATGCCGGGCTTCCAAGGTGGCGGACGCACGCGAACGTGTGAGCACAGGCGACACACGCAGCACCCTCCCAACTTGATGCGTGCGCGACGTTCTGACCGCACCCGATTGCACCCCCTTCCCGCCTGCCCCCCTCCCCCCGGCAGCCATCTTCCCTATTGTGGCCACCACCTGGCTGGCCTTCCTGGTGTTCCTGCTGCCCCGCAAGGACATGGAGGCGCGCCTGGGGGCAGTCACGGGGCTCTTCCTCGCCCTCGCGGCCATCCAGTTCGTCATCACGGGTGGGCGTCGGCCCTGGACCCTCGGATTGTGCGGCGTACGAGGTTGATGCCTTGGGGGAGGGGCAGCTACCGAGGCCCTTCCCTGGCCTGAGCGGCCGCGCCACGCCCAGGCTACGGCCGAGCTGCTCCGACTTGAACGGCCACGGTCCCATCAAATCTGGTTGCTGCGAGCGCCGCCACTCACCAGACGGCGTGCGCATCAAACACGCACACCTGCACGCAAACGCAACACGTCGCTTGGTCTTGAGCCCAAAGAATCTGGCTGTCGTCTCTTAAACCGTCACCACGCCATGCCATGCACCCACTCGTCACCCACCCGTCACCCCATGCGCGTCAACCCCGGCCAGGCATGACCCCCGCCAGCTCCTACGTGACCGCGCTGCAGCAGCTGGTGCTCTGCTCCTACGTGACGCTCATCCTGGTAGGCGTTGACCTGCAGTGCCGCGGGCACGTTGCAAGCATATCCCCCAATCAGCGGTCGGCAAAGCCCGCCGCAGGCGCCGGCACCAGCCCCGCCCTGACCGCGGGCCGGGGGCCATGCGGTTTCTTTACCGCGTTCGCGGCTGGTGCGATCCCGCTTGTGGCAAGACTCTCCCTTTCTGCTCCTCCTTTCTAGCCTCGTCCCGGCCCTCTGATATCATTGAATTGTGCAATCCTCTGCCATGCTATCCAGGTTGGTCTTGAGAATGTCATGCTCTGGTGGCTGACCATATACCACAAGGACAAGGCCAGGTGAGGGCGCAGCAGTGGGACCCTCGTGGGGGGGGGGGAGTACCGCGGCCAGTGCCGCAGCTTGCTATCAAAGCAAGCTGCGCCCGATGGTTTCAGGGTCGAAGGTTGAAGGAAGCTGAGTGCAGGGGCTAGGGCTGATGAGAATGGTAGGTCCTTTCTGTTTCAGAGGGGGTTGCCCCAGCCAGGTGTTGGCGGCCCAGCGCGCGGAGGATAAATATAACAGTTGGGGAGCAAGGCCCTGCGGGGTTGGGACCCCAGGATTCACGTGCCGATTTGATGCCGATGAGCAGGATGTTGCAGCCAGGGGGTGGGGTTCAGGGGGACGTATCATCAAAGTTGCGCTTGGACCGCTCCACTTTCAGGCCTTGAGGGCACCTGTGCAAGCTGTGGACACCTGTTGTTGATACCCTCATCAGGTTCCATCACAGCAGCACGCACACAAACAAACATACACGCTCAGACAAACGCGCCGCACTTGCACACACACACACACACACACACACACACACACACACACACACATATTGCACAAAACACGTGCACTTCGTGCTTTACGCCAACCCCACCCAAACGTCAACTCTCCCCCAGGGCGCGGCGCCACGCGGAGGCCCAGAGGGTGTACCAGCAGAAGCTGGCGGCGGTGCGCTGCGCACTGGACGCATGGCTCACGCGCGCCTGCCGCGACGGCGACGGCGGCGGCGGCGGCGGCAGCGGCAGCAGGGGAGGGCGTCCTGCGG